AGTCCTTTCTGGACTCCAAGTTTGCTGTGAAGAAACTGGGCGATTTGGAGTATTGCCTGGGTGTCACAGTGTCTCGCGATCGCTCCTCCAAGTAGCTATACTTGTGTCAGTCCAGCTATATTGAACAGTTGCTGGACCTGTTTGACGTGCAAGGCCATAGTTTACGTGTGCCAATGAAGAACCGACCAACAATCCACGTTGACGATGTTGTCGACTCGAAATTACCCTACCGCGAACTTGTCGGCGCTCTGCTCTATCTGCAACAGTGGACACGCCCCGACATCAGCATTGCAATCTGTCTATTGTCCCGCCACTTGTCAGCCCCAACCAAGCGTTTGCACGATTCTGCCATCGACGTGCTTCGCTATCTCAAGAAGACTCGAAATTACAGTCTCTAGCTCTGGACCTCGTTGGATACTGTATTGCGATGCGGACTGGGCATCCGATGGGACCGATCGGAAGAGTCAAACTGGTTACGTTTTTCTCCTTGGTGATTGCCCTCTCTCATGGCGTAGCGTGAAGCAAACTTTGGTGGCTGCGTCGTCTGTCGAGGCTGCGTTGAACTCGGCCGTCTCGGAAGCGTTGTACCTTCGTCAATTTCTGAATCAGTTGGGTTGCCGCACTACCTACCGCTGTGAACATCTTTGAAGATCATATGGGTGCTATCCAACTTGCAAAGAACCCAGCTCATCACGACGGAACCAAGCACTTCGACGTCCGTCACCACCGTGTGCGTGATTATATTGCGAAGAAACTGGTCAAGCTCACTCACGTGAGAACAAGTGGTCAACTGGCTGATGGACTCACCAAACCGCTCACTGGAACAAAATTCGCTGAGCTTAAGCAGTCTCTGCTTGAGGGAAAGTGATAAAACTCATTGACAGAGTGCACAAAGTCACAGGTACACTGTACTGGCATTGCGACTTGGAGTACGACAGAAGAAATCTAGAACGATCTTGATATCCATTGATCGATAACGACCTCCAATTCACTCTTGTTTTTCCCTCGTTGACGTCGCATCGTGTCCCGGGGGGGTGGGCGTCGCGGGGGGCCACCATGATGTCACGCCAGTGGGCCGTGAACGTCGCCTGCACCGTAGCTTCGTCGTACACCGTGGTGCCGTCCACGGTGACGCAGTTGATGGGCACCTTGGTTCCCAGAGGTCGCCGAAAGAAGTGGGAGGTGCCCCGTTCATTCGAGTTGGCGTGGAAGTCGAACTGCCGGTCCCTCGCAAACTGGCGGTGCTCGGCCTTGGCCGAGTCGAAGGCGAGCTGGGCAGTCTCCACCTCGGCGGCCGCAGTGGCGTGGTCGGCGTGCCACTGCAGGGCACGCTTGGCCGCGGTGAGGCGCAGGCGCAGGTGATGCAGCTTGGACTGCTCGGCCAACGTCTGTAGCCGGTGGCACTTCTTGAGTTGGGTCCGCATGCGCTTGAGCCACCCATACCACATTGCGCCGTGGTTCAGGT